TTTACCAATTAAACAATACCTAATATGACTAAATTATTTTATCACAAAAAAAAAAAATAGGATAAAATAATATATCTATAATAGAGAATTTTACCAATTAAACAATACCTAATATGACTAAATTATTTTATCACAAAAAAAAAAAAAATAGAATAAAATAATATATCTATAATAGAGAATTTTACCAATTAAACAATACCTAATATGACTAAATTATTTTATCACAAAAAAAAAAAAATAGAATAAAATAATATATCTATAATAGAGAATTTTACCAATTAAACAATACCTAATATGACTAAATTATTTTATCACAAAAAAAAAAAAAATAGAATAAAATAATATATCTATAATAGAGAATTTTACCAATTAAACAATACCTAATATGACTAAATTATTTTATCACAAAAAAAAAAAAAAATAGAATAAAATAATATATCTATAATAGAGAATTTTACCAATTAAACAATACCTAATATGACTAAATTATTTTATCACAAAAAAAAAAAATAGAATAAAATAATATATCTATAATAGAAAACCAATTAAACAATACCTAATATGACTAAATTATTTTATCACAAAAAAAAAATAGAATAAAATAATATATCTATAATAGAGAATTTTACCAATTAAACAATACCTAATATGATTAAATTATTTTATCACAAAAAAAAAAATAGAATAAAATAATATATCTATAATAGAGAATTTTACCAATTAAACAATACCTAATATGACTAAATTATTTTATCACAAAAAAAAAATAGAATAAAATAATATATCTATAATTAAATTTTACCAATTAAACAATACCTAATATGACTAAATTAAATCAAAAAAAAAAAAAATAGAATAAAATAATATATCTATAATAGAGAATTTTACCAATTAAACAATACCTAATATGACTAAATTATTTTATCACAAAAAAAAAAAAATAGAATAAAATAATATATCTATAATAGAGAATTTTACCAATTAAACAATACCTAATATGACTAAATTATTTTATCACAAAAAAAAAAATAGAATAAAATAATATATCTATAATAGAGAATTTTACCAATTAAACAATACCTAATATGACTAAATTATTTTTTATCACAAAAAAAAAATAGAATAAAATAATATATCTATAATAGAGAATTTTACCAATTAAACAATACCTAATATGACTAAATTATTTTATCACAAAAAAAAAAAATAGAATAAAATAATATATCTATAATAGAGAATTTTACCAATTAAACAAAATGACTAAATTATTTTATCACAAAAAAAAAAAAAATAGAATAAAATAATATATCTATAATAGAGAATTTTACCAATTAAACAATACCTAATATGACTAAATTATTTTATCACAAAAAAAAAAAAAATAGAATAAAATAATATATCTATAATAGAGAATTTTACCAATTAAACAAATCAAAAAAAAAAAAAAAAAATAATATATCTATAATAGAGAATTTTACCAATTAAACAATACCTAATATGACTAAATTATTTTATCACAAAAAAAAAAAAAAAATAAAATAAAATAATATATCTTAATAGAGAATTTTACCAATTAAACAATACCTAATATGACTAAATTATTTTATCAAAAAAAAAAAATAGAATAAAATAATATATCTATAATAGAGAATTTTACCAATTAAACAATACCTAATATAACTAAATTATTTTATCACAAAAAAAAAAAAAAATAGAATAAAATAATATATCTATAATGAGAATTTTACCAATTAAACAATACCTAATATGACTAAATTATTTTATCACAAAAAAAAAAAAAATAGAATAAAATAATATAAGTAAAAATTCTCATTTAGTTCCTCATGAATTTATAACTAAAATCTACTAAATGAGAGACAAAATACAAAATTTGGTTAAAGTCAATACTGATAGATAAGATTTATAATCATTTAAATACAAATTTTGAAATTTTATTTTGCCATCCCATCTCTATTTGCTTTCTTACAGTAGAACAACAAGAAATAATGGGTAAGGGGAGTTATAAAGAATAACAAATAATCTCAGTTACAAAAATCAAAATGGCAGTTATCATCATTAGTTCAATAAACATTTGTAAAAAGAACAAATCCATGTTTGATACAAAAAAAAAAAAAAAAAAAATGATTTTAAAATTATAGCTTTCAAGAGAATTGGAAAATCAAGAGATGTTCAATTCAATAATTATTACCTGCATTATAAACTACTTAAATAGAAGCTGATATATTTAGCCTTAATACAAACATGAAATACTTTTTAAAAAAAATAAATAACAGTAATTGCTTATTAAATACTTTACATTTGACTATTTCGTTCTTTATTTGCAGCTGTTTTTTTATTCCAATATTTTTGATTATTCAAATATTACCTGAAAAAAAAAAAAAAAAAAAAATCCACCCCACAAAACTCATTTATTTCTAAGCTTAAATTCTAACCAATTTATTTATTTTTTATTCTGTAGTGTATATTTCTCTTTATATATTTTTCCTTTTTCATTACCTATTTTGAATGAATATTGAATTTTTCAATATTGTCTTCGCCACAAGACACCTTCCCCTTTCATATGATCATAAAAATTTTCCAGTGCCTGATTCACTGCATTTTCTTGAAAACAAGCTAATTACCTCCCTTTACTGCAGGGCAGCAAAGCAGAAAATGATATAACACAAAACTCCATATTGAAGGCTGCACAAAGACCAGAGAGAGAGAAGGGGGAAGAATGGAAAGAGGAAAGAAATACTTCTTTATTTTTGGCAATGCACTTAAAGTCGCTAGAAAATAAATTGAGATGTTTTAAAAACAGTAATGTATGACGGCAAGAGGAAGTAAATTATCTGCATGATATATTCAGCTCAAAGTTGAAAATATTTCGATCAATATAAAAACCAACATGGCCATCCAGAAAAAATAACAGAGCTTGATCTTTGCTAGTTTCACTTGGTTATTGTCTGAGAAAGATTCACATCAATAGAACACTCTGGCACCTGACTTTACCTTTTTGCTTTTAACAATATAAACCTAGCAATAGATCTGGGTTTTTATTTTCAGATGAGATGGTCTAGTGGAGCTTGAAGCAAGATATGAAAGGAAACAGTTTCACAATTGATATTGGTGAGGAATTGTATTATGTCCATAAATAATTTCCTTTTTTCTTTGTGTTCATCCATATTTTTTTTTCTCCTTTTTGAATCACAATCTTTCAACCGATACATTCTCTAGTTGTCATCAGGTGTCAAGCATCTTTTCTTTTCTTCCATGATATTCAAGTATGTAACTTGAGAAAATGAGGAACGTATACTTTTAATGGACATCTTTGACTTTCATCTTCATGGGAGATAAAAGGTTTGCTTTTTTTTTTCTTTTTTTTTTTTAAAGGAAAAGTTTATAATAAGAATGAAGTTTGTTATTTTTTTTCTATATCCTAATGTATTCTCTATAATTACTCCATTAATACATGCAGTTCGAAGAAAGAGTATGTCTCTGTGTGTGTGTGTGTGTGTGTGTGTATGCATGTGTAAAAGAAAAATATGGATTACATGTAAATGCAGATACAAACACTTTCATAATATATACATATATAAGCTTAAATATTATATATATGTAAACACAATTACATATGCCTTACATGTAAATATATTTAGACACTGTGTGTGTGTTTGCACTCTTTCACAGAAACAAATATGTGATCTCTGCCTGAAAACTTACAATTTGAATTTTCTGTCCATCTTGCCTTCTTCTAGAATTATGTTTAAAAAAAGAAATTTCTTTTTTATATTTGTTATTTTTTTTTATGAACACAAAGTCACATAAAATTTTCTGAAAGAAGAAAATAAATGCTATGGGAGTCCAAAATGTGCCTCAGAATTAAGTTAGAAATAATGAAAGAATAAATTCAACAGACACAGACATGCACATGTGAGTGTATCTCTCAGAAATATGCAGTCATATCAGTTCTTAATTGCCAACATTCATGTGTACATATATATAAGTTTCTGTATATGTGCACATGTCTAGAGAGATGCTTATGCAGAGAGATTGTATTTATGCATGATTATATTCATATGTGTATATTCATATATATTATCACAGATATATATGGGTTCATGTAATTGTTAAAATTATGTTTACTAATATAGAATTTTATATACTTGAAGTTTTGATGTGTGTCTATGTATGTATAAAGATGCCTTACATAATCTTACACATTCATTATTTTAAGCATGTGTATGCCAATGTACTCCTCACACAAACTTTAAGTTGGTAAAGTGTGCTTCTGACAGGATTGATGGCACCTGTCCTAATAGAGAAAGGTATTTCCATTGTTAGCAAATGGAAATGTCTCCACAGACTGGAAAGATGAATGTTTGAATACAAATGAGGAAGCGGATTTAAAGTTTGCATTAAAAATGGTTTCTACAACATGAAACACATGCACTCATTTTTACAAAGTCTAACAATGGAGAAATTTCTAAGGAGTATGGAATGATATTAACTATTCACACCTCAAACACTACAATCATCTCATTACCTTCCCAAAGGATCAGGTAGGAATATTTAAAACAAGGGATTAAAATCATGCCACATTTTTAATTAAAAATGAAAAAGAAGTGATGATCTAAAAAACCTTAGATGAACACATTGTAATATTAATAAAAATGAAATTTTCAATGTTATATGATATTAAATTGATGTCATTACAAGAAGCTAAGTAGAGTACATGCAACAAATATGAGAGTTTAATTAAAGAGCAAAAAAGCAGACTTCAATTTTGCAACAAAGAAAAAGACTGTTTATTCAGTAACAAGACCATTCCATAATGCAATATAAAGGACATTTCAAACTAGATGAGAAGAAAAGTTTTTACCAATGTTTCTTTGTCAAATTGTGTTGGTTTGCAGTGATTTTTATTTTTAAGATAATCAATTGAAAAATAAAATAATTTTTTTTTACTATTGAGAAGACAAAAATTGAAAGGGACTTACCTGGTCTTCTAATGAACTTGTATCAAGGCATGGTGTGGTGATCAACAGGTGATTAATGCAATACATGATGATATCTAACCATGCCACATTCACTGCTGTAGGCAAACAGCCTTCCTGACCAAATTCCAAGAGACATGCCTCACTGAATTGCATTTCTATTCGCACTAACAAATTTCTCACTCTACAAGAGAAGAAAAATTGTTTTCAGTTTCTTTTCTTTTCATTTTATTCAGGTAATTTATGCAAGAAAAAAAATGCTAAAACTACAGGAAGTGTTCAGAAGGTTTAAGAACAGATTGGTTAAAGCCAATTACCACTTTTGATATAAAAGCTAACAGGATTCTTGCCAACCTCATCAAGAAAATAGTTCACAGTGAAAATCAAGAGGTTTTTCTTTTCACAAATGACCTACATAAAAAAGAATATTGAGAGAAAGAAAACAAAAACCCAGATAGTTTTAAGACTTAATTTTCATATACCAAACTGCTCGCTAAAAAGCAGGTGTGTCTCATTAATCTCAAATGTAAGAGCAAATTCTAACATCAAGGTGAGTTTTGAAAATTAAATGAAACTACAAACAACAGAATACTAATTATCTATCTTACCAAAACATGCAAAGAAAAACAAATTAGGTGAGAAAATAAGAAAAAATCTCAGTTGAGTAAATATTTTCATCAAATTTCCTCTCCTTATGACAGCTAACAAATGTAATCATATATGTGTGTGTGTGGAAAAATTCAGATATAAATAAAATATATCTTCAAACAGACAATATGAATAAAGACAAAAGGAAAACCTTTCTTCAATGATGAATTTTGTTCTCTGATGGACTTTATTGAGGAAAATGTAAGGAAAATCTAAGGAAATTTTACAACAAAGTTTATAAACAGAAATAAAAATGTTAATTTTTCAGAATTTTTTCATTTATTAGACATCACTTAGCCTGCTCCATAATTTACCCTAACTTTCAGGTAGCCAGAAGTATATTTATGAACATTTTTAAATTTAAAATTCTGACCCCCAAAAAAAAAAAAAAAAAAACTAACATTTTACTCCCATTCATAAAGACTTGTAAAATAAAAATCATGGTATGCTCTGTTTCAGTTTAAATACTGGTATTGAACTGGTTTTTACTTGAAAATTTGCATTGAATTTTGAACACTCACCTAGTTCATTAGACAGAACATCAGGAAAACATTTTTTTTAATGCTTCCTCCAGTATTTCGCTGTGACTTTTTAAATTTGTTGCTTGTCTACACTTTTACAATATGCATTTATAGACAAAGCCCACATTTCAAATAGTTCTATCCAGTCTGTACCAAATAGATTTGTTGCATTTCTTAGAACATAAGCTTTTGTTTTTACCTGCTTATTTCAAAAATAAATATCACAAGTTAATTCTCTCCCCCAAAATAATTTCTCACCAGAAAGTGAAGTTGCAACTTTGTAAGTTTTTTTTTAATGATGGTTTTCCAGTTTCTTTCCACATGGTTTCATTTACTACTGAAATGTTACTACCAGTATTTAGTAACATTTTTACTCCCACATATTGATTTGCACATTAACAAATTTTCTTTGTTTCATGTGACTATTTTTCCCAGCACAATAGTATGTATTAACTTACTCCTGCAAAAATTTTTTCTTGGCTTAGCTTTTACCAATACACATTTTTTTATTCTGAAGTTTTTAAGAATCATGCTTGACTTGGCATTGTTTGGCAATCGTCCACTATTTCCTGTAGTGTTACATTATTATTATGTTCAAACTTTGTGAAAATTTTCATTCATACTTGAGCATATTTTTCTTCTGTTAGACCTTGCACAAAAATTAATCCCTTGATCATATCTAGACTCATTCCTTTAGTTTAAATTGTTCACATCCTCTGTTGATGGTACCCACATACATAAAATCTTCATCTTCTATTTTGGTTAAATTTATGCACCTTCAATGAGCATGAAATAGAGAGCACTTGTCACTGAAAATTTTTATCAGGATGTGTACTGTATCTTCAAACCCTATTTCACCTGGTTTTCTCAGTGTTATGATGTAGAACCATAGAAAGATAACACGGACTTGGATATAAGGTTAAATAGTATATTCTCGGAAATGTAGTACAAAGGTAAATGTGGACTGGAGAGTACTTTCTCTCACTGATGTCCTGACTCACTCATTCACTCACTCTATGGCTACTACTCAATGACCCTCACTTGGTGACTCCCTTTACTCAGAGTTGGTAGCCATATTATATAGGTGTGGAAGAGTCCATTTGTAGGTAGGTCCCCACAATACTCGGTAAAATGTAATTGCAGTATTTTTCATACTCTATTGACACTATTTTAATTAACGAGAACCTGTTTTTTATCTTCTTCCCAGCTACCACATTCCTGACTAAATATTTCTTCATGTTTGTGAAAATATGCAGAAAAAGTCAGTCCAACATGACTACTCTCAATCTAATACCATGGAACTCTTTATTGAATGAGTTCATAGAGTCACCAGAGGAGTATTCTTTACTCCACAACAATATATATCAGTAATTTAAGTTCATAAAGTTGGGATCTATGTATGTATAGATGTGTATATATTTATGTGTGTGTACAGGCATATATAAAAAAAAAAAACAAACATTCTCTGGTTTTGGTGACAGATTTAAAATTCAACAAACTAACAACTTTAATATATATATGTATATATATATATATATATATATAACAGGCAGACAGGCACATTCTGGTAGTGTCTGGTCATTGAATGTGAGAAGGTGATTTGATTTATAGTCCCCTTATATCCACAGAAATCTCAATGCATTTTTCCTTGCATATAGTTTTGTCTTTCATTCTAACCTAAAAAAGCTGAAGGAAACAGACACTTTCTGCAAAACGCATCTTAAGTAGCTTTTCCACTTTGTCCCATTATCTTCACTTTTGTTTTGGATAATATTATACATCCTACAAACACACAAGTATGTATGATGACTGTTTACTCAATTTTGAATACAAACACTTTTTACATGTAAGAAAGTACTTGAGAGATTACAGTAGTAGACATTTGTAGAATATGAATACCATACTCTGAACATCAACTACCATAATCCACTGACAAGAATGCTGAAGATGACTGGTGATAGCTTAATTTGTAGGTTTTTCATTCACAGTTATCCTTCTCTTAAATTGGTTGTCACCCAAGGCTAAAGAGCTTTGTCTGCTCTACTATTTAACCCATAGTTGGAGGGAGAAAATGTTGATTCATCCCTTCCTCAGGGATATTTTCACAAAAGTAATTGTAACAAACTCAATTAAAATTTGAACTTGGCTCATTGATTTCTTGTTCCATGACACCACTTGTACACACACACACAAATAATGATGGCTGCCACCTTATTGTTAAGTATGACCATCACAAAGTATCACTGAAGACTTAGTTGATTGGATATGGGGTATGGTTCCAAACAAACTTTTAAAACCGGTCACAAAGTTGGCAGACATGAGACACATACATTTTGTTTATCTTTGTGTCTGTTAAATGCATACATACATACACCCATTTATGCATAGTATCTTCATTTTCATATCTAGAAATACATTTATTGCAAGGATGTTAATCCAGTGCATATTGAGTCTAATGTTAATGAAAGCATTTGAGGAGAATTTCAGCTCCTTTAAGAAGGTTAGACAACATGGTGGCTCTGTTGGCTATTCTTTCTATATCTTTACTAAAGCTTTTCTTTCTTCAGACATGTTTGTACAATCTATCAAAACCTCTTTGCCAGCCTGTTGCTTATATCTTTGTTCATTAGATGATATGATGCAACCTTTATGGGGGTGAAGTGCTGGACTGTTCCCAGCATTGTCTGACTGATGAATATAGAAGGCAGCTGATATATTTTTCTTTTTTTTTAACACACATTGTTGGAAAATGATCATTTTCTTTTTGCTGTCTTTAAAATCAAAGAATTCTGTGATACAGGACATTACCTGCTAAAGCACAGGCTGGATGAACAGCTACAGCCACATCATTTGCAATCAGAAGTTTTCTGACCAGCTGCTTCATAAAGTAGCTATGGGCCCAAAGGGGTTTCAGATGAAACACGTTGCCAGTTATACGCATGTTGATGTAAAGGTTCCCTTCATCCTCCGTCCTCTCTGTAGCCTGTTTCAATATCATGTAAAAAGAATATTGAAAATAGAATAAGACCAAATACAAAACCTTGCTTCACTCCACTGTGGCTGAGAAAGGTTTGAAGAAGTTGATGATATAATTGGCTCAATCAAAATGCATTTCATGGAAATGACAAAAACTGAAGTACTTAAGTCAGTCAGTGCCATGAGTTTTGAAGCAATGCTACAAATGTTTGTCTGTATTGAGCAGGTCATGTGGTTAGAATAGAAGAAAATCATTTTCCAAAGATGCCCCTGTTATGCAAACTGGTCTCTAATCAACAGAATTAAGAAGTCCCACAGAAGAGATGCAGAGGACCCTTGTTGTATCAATTACTGCCAGTAATCAATATAGGTAGTCAATGGGGAGATAGAGCAACATAAAATCTACCAGGAAAACTCATTTTTCAAAGCAAACCACAGTGAAGAGATAATGTCATAAAACAGATGACCATTGTGGTTGTTCAGACTGTCCTGTGTGGGCTTTTCTATCCACTGACAGATGTACAATGAACATGGACAACTAATCTAAATCTATTTATGAAATCAAATTATGGTTATGACCAAATGTATGTGTGTGTGTGTGTGTGTGTGTGTGTGTGCATGTGTGTAATATTAACATCAATAATACTGAAAAGAAAAAGTCTAATAAACCATTCAAATATCTAGAACTTACCATTTCACAAAAACAAAGTATTGATACTTACATTTTTATAATTTAAATTCATCCCTGTTTAATATTGAAAGATATACATATATTAAAAGTCCATTTCTACCTACTCAGGCATACATTCATTTTTACATGGACTTACAACTTACAACAAAATATTTAGTTCACAAGAATGTCACTGTGGGTCAGTAAAATATTTATGTATCTAAACATATACACGTGTCTGTGTATGTTATATATATATATATATATATATATATATATATATATATATTAGATTGCATATATTCACATATGATGTTCATATAGAAAGTGTACTTTACATAATTAATCAGTTTGTCAATCATGACAGTT